CCCCCCCCCCCCCCCCCCCCCCCCCCTTACGATTAGTCAGCGCGCTACTAGCGGACGTGTAGCCGTTGGAATGACGCCACTGTTGCTTCGATATCAAGCGCCGATCGGCCATTATTAATAAACCAGTTTTTTTATCTTTACCATGACACAAGCTAAATTCCGCAATGATTAAACAGTGGTGATGAAATTAAAATGGCCCCCTTTTCATTGCCTTAAAGGAAGATATTAAAAATTTCTTACGTCTGTTAGGAATTAACCACCAACATCGCGTTATTTTATAAATACATTGTCATTTTTACTTTGAAACATTCAAATGAGGAGTGGCTTTCCTCTGCTCAGCAAAAAATTGTCAAGTTATTGCTAATTCAGATCCCAAGCACTTTTATCAGATTCATACCTCTGGAATATTTTTGAAAAAATGTGAAGTTGATGTAAACATGATAAGCCAAGGTAGTTTTAGAAGTACTCTTACTTTTGCCAGTAACTATAAGCCACTAAAAGCAGTTTATACTAATACTAGTTCACGATAAATCTCTGCAAACTTTTCGCTTTATCTCTTCAAACTACTTGTAACTACCAATCTCTAATATTTTCGATTAAAGAAAAAATAGGCAGCCATTGTTTCTCCACCTCTTGAAGTGACTCTCTTTCTGGATGCCAAATTATAAAACTTTTGATTTCTTCTAAGTTAATTACACACACATAGACACACACAATATGAAATTTTATAAGGCATCCCCATTTTAAGGTAATAGTTGAAACGAATTTACATCAAACGGGGAGAACACGTTTGCTTCAGTCGAATCTATGCCAGTTTCAGAATTTACAAACCTATTGATAATGTTCCAGTCAGAAATCGAACCATAAATCGGGCGATTGCAGTTGTTAAATTGTGCAAATTAATATAATCTGAAAACAGACATCAAATTAGCATCACCAAATTAATTTCCAATATATAATAGTCAAATGAAGCCATGTCTTTCGATTTCTATTTCGTTCTATCTAGATACATACTGACTTTAAATCCGACTCATATGTTTTAATCCATGCTCGAATGAAGGCAATGAGGTGATATCACTTAACTCAGGCGCCTTCAAAAGCACTCGAATTTTGGACACGATTGGGTCTATGCACGTTTTCTATAAAATTTTCAATTCAAAAATATTTAAGTGTACTCTCCAACGCAATTCAGACCAAGATGACAAGGGTGGGGGGAGGAGGGGGAAACGAAGGGCGGCTCAAACTCAAGAGAACTTTCATTTTTTCACAGAATTCTAGCCACAATAGTCTGCTTTTCTGTAAGTTGGTGTATAAACCTCACTCTTCGATTCTTATTGTTGATACAATATTGGACTCATATATATATATAATTCTCTATAAAAGGAATTTAATGTAATTAGCATAATAGTTGATTTGCTTAATTGCTCCCTTGTTTGGAATACGAAGAATCAACCTATAAACCAGGGGTCACAGTAGCTAATTAAATTTCCTCCGCTACAGCACTGCTAACCAACCAACTGAAAGTCAACACTCGCTTTTGGTAATAGTACTTTTAATTGTGATAAGTTAAACTTTACACTCTTTTAAATGGGTTCTTTATCAGGAGATAAAGTGATTACGTTTTTCTATTATTTACTTCTGGTGAGAACTCAGAAGTCGAAAGAACTCTGCTTTTGGTTTATTCGATAGGAAAAATCGTGCAAATCAAGATTGGTCAGCACTGATTGAGCCTTCGCGATTTACTTACCATCAGTGAAACTTAAGATAATTTTTTCGCTAACGGTTATACTAAATGGGGACAGTTAGAGAATCAGACCCGCAGATAAAGTCTGGCTTTGGTTTTAAGATCCGCTTTCGAAGCAGACAGCTGATCCACAAAAGTGTTAACTAAAATACATATTTTTCATACCACTTCTTCTGAAGTATGGACCAAATGACGCATCTAATATCAAATATTCTGGCGGTTAACAACAGAATAAATCGATACTTAACCAGATGAGTTACCTCTATCAAACCTTCTATATTCCCAGGTTTATATCAAAAACAACTGAACCGTTTACTGACCTGCTTCCCTTAAATATTAGACAATTCAAAACACCATATACATAGCCTTTTCACACATCATAAATGCTACAAATAAAGTATTACCTTCATGAAGTACTCTAGGAAGGATTTTTTTAAGTATCATATCAAGTGAACTATCAAAATTAGCATAGATAAGGAGTAGTTGGTCAATTTGCCATACCCCACAAGCTTTTACCAATCACCACCAATCGCCGTAGCCAAAATTTGGCCAATCTTGCTGATTTAAAAAAGGTAAGAATAGCATTCTCAATTGTATACAAATACCTATTCAAAACAGGAATACATAGGAATCAACTTCTTGATGGTCTAACAATGACATGTATTGAAAGAAATAACAATTTTTCCTAAACTCTGGTCTTAAAACTTTCACCTACCTCTTATCCAAATTACAGATATAGTCTGAAATTGTAAGAAACTAAAAGTAATTGTATGCAACCTATTATCACACCTTCAGGGCACTAAGATTTTATACCGCGATCAGTTAGCAAATTCTGCAATAATACAAGTTTATGAACTCAACATAGTGCTCAAGTCAATATTTATCATGTATATCGCATTATATTTCACATATTAATACACTAAATAAGAGCTCACATCAAGAGGAGAGAAATGAGGGGGGGGGGTGGTGGTGGAAGTAAAGACATTGTCGATGGTCCTGCTAGAAGGCATGAGTCAATATTCAAGAAGATATTGGAAGTAAAAAGTATTCACAGTAAAAAAGGGCCAAATGGAAGGGGATTAAAGGAAAAAGCGAATGAGAGCGCAGCGGTTGAATGATGAATTCAAATATAGCAATACACGGGAGGGGGGAGAGGGTCAGGCGACCTAGAATTCAGTTGGCCTCGTGGCAGCGGCAGCAATAGCCGCAGCGCCCTTGCCACTGCCGTCTTCAGAATGCCTCAATCGGAACTAAAAAGAGTAAAAAAGAGAGATGCACAAAAGAAAATCTGAAAATTTCAGTAGTGTAGCTTGTTCTAAACTCCCACTTCTTCCCCTATTTTCTGTCAGCCAATTAGAACCCTGCTTACGTGACTGAAGCGTGAAAGAAAGGGTAAGAGGACTTGGCATATAATTTACCCTGTAGATTTCATTTGGTTGAAGATAGCATCAACAAAATACTTAATTAAATGAAACTTACTTGAACACCTTCAGGCTTTAGTTTGTCAATGATGTCAGTCATGCGTTCACGGAAACGTGGATGAAACTTATAGAGAGAGCCATCAATACCAATAGTAACCTTTCGACGATTCAAACGATGCATACAGGCAGCAATACCAGCCCCAGCAAGATAAGCAGCTCGTTTGGAAACGGCTTCACAAACAATTCGGACAACTCGGTCATCGATGTGATCGACAATCGGGATCTCCAAATCCTCAGTCAAGACGGAATGGGTACTGTAGAACAAGTGAGAAGGATCACGCTCAGTCTCTGTAACAAATTTTGTGAGGAAGCTACAAGGTTTGGTTAGAACTTCGGGCATCTCTCCTCGAAAGAGTAGTTGACGTTTCACTAGGTGAACAAGGATGATTCGGACAAGCTCACCGAGGTACATTCCAGATATCATCTTCTCAAAACTAAAAAGAGTAATTTGGTTTTGATAAATGTAAAGCCTAAAGGTAAGTGAAGGAAGGGCCAAAAAAGTAAACTTACACTTGTTTACCAGGATGTAGACTAGCGTTGTCCAGTTCCAGGTCGAATTCGGTGAGGTAAGTTTCAAGCTCACCCTCCTCACCAAATGCTCCCCATTCCATGTTGATAACAACGCTATCCTCTTCTTTGGGACGATAGACGGGTTTCTCGCTCTCCAATTTTTTCATGAATTCGCAAGTCTCGATCTTTTCAATATAGGCAGCATTAGTACCAGTACCAACAATTAGACCAATAGCACAGCTGGGGTCTTCCAAAGCACATGAGGCCAAAGTTCCAACGGTGTCATTCACAACAGCAACGCACTTCACTTTAAGACCCTAAAATGGTTTAAATAAATATAGATTTGGAAATATTACGAATATAATAAGTCCTAAAGTAGCACGTACTAGAGCATCAGTAGCATCTTGGAGAAGCTTGCAGACATCAGCATTGACGGCATCATGAACGTTGAATCCTTTAGTCCAACGAACAAGAATTGACTTATCAAGGGCGTGTTGTTCACAGGGAAATGAAAAGGTAAATCCAAGTGGAAGGGGAGTATCCACTAAATTATAACGTTTGAGGAAATTTTGGAGAGTCGAAGCAATATAGCCAAAAAGATCCTGGCCAGTTCCAACCATCTTCTCCTTTGGAATAGCGTATGTTCGTTCGTCAATTTTAGGATGAACACCACCAGCAAGAGTGACAAGAAGAACTCTATAATTAGTGCCACCGAGATCCAAAGCCAAAAATTGTCCCTTTTCTTTACCAGTTGGGAATCTTGTTACGAATGAAGGATACATTTTGATGGAAGATGATTCCCTGGTCTTTAAATTAAGACCACGAACCATCGCATCAAGCATCCTGTTCATTATGCTTGCATAATCCTCGTTGCTTAAAACGAGTGGCTGCAAGATATTCACAACCGTTTTGTAAATTTCGTCGTCGGTGAGATCCATATCGTCGAGTTTCAATTAAAATTTGTTGCAAATTGCTGAGAGTATGGTCTACTTATACCCCCGCCGGGGACATTTACAAGGATGTGTGTTAGTTAAGAAAAACAAAAATATTTTTTCTTTGCTTAAATTAAAAATACATTCTATATTCTAACAATCCAATATTTTTTAATGCAAAATTTGAATCAAATTTAAAAAAATAATTAATTTTAACAGCATTTACTATCACTGATACAATATATCAACGATTGATTAACTATCTTTCATAAGAAACAGCACTTAACGAGAATACTAAAAAGTGTAAATCATTGATTTTTCTAACCTTTAGCTGATTTTATTTTATATATATACATATATATATATTTATATACCTGTTGAATTTATAAAGTATATATATCTAATATTAGAACAGTTAGTTGGGCTATCAGCAAAATAAAGGAGGTCAAAAGTTAGACAATTAGTAAGTGAATATTTACTTCGATCGAGATTATGATTTCGCAAGATATTAGCGTTTTTAGAGGCATCATCAGTTAAAAGTTAAAGTACGTTTTGCGTTTTGTGCTTCTTAAAACTTCATATGAAAAGTCCCATAGTTCAGATCACCACTCAAATTATCAGATGATTTTAAAATTTTTATTTATTCGGTTGAGGTGTTTTATGAGCTATCCATCACAGAGATATTGCAGGTTAGTATTTGGGTTTGAACTTATTTTTAAAATAGTGATTTGGTATCCATCCCCATCAGGTGTTCTGGTTCTAGCTTATAGTGGGCATTCATACTCTAATAAAGTTCTCTGGACAGGAGCCACATAAATCAAATCACTCACAAGCTAACAGTATATTTGAAAATTGAATTGGGTTTATTTACTGTATATTTCGCCGATAGACGCCAATCGTGTCTAGGCGTGATGACTGTCACCTGCTTTTATCTATGTGCGAATCCAATAGCTGCATTGTTTATAGATATTGTCAACTAAATTGTCGTCAGTTAATCATTTCTGAAATTTACGACGCGTACAAAAGGCAGTTTCTATAGCTACCTTGACGACTACATACATATTTTAATTAGACAAGAACAATTTAAGAATTAACTGAATTCCACACCATCTTTCCTCTACAATTGTCTGTTAATCACGTGTATAATATTTAATAAATAAATATAATTAAAGAATGGATATTGGGGTGGTCGATAGATTTGCCTCCACATGGTGCACCTGTCTGTGAAGCTCGAATTCAACTAAGGGGCTAGTGATAATTACCATAAAGCCTGCCATTCGGCATAAAAAATGTTTATTGGTATATTTTTTTAAGATTTTTTCAGTATTTTGTTTAAAAGCAGCTTTACAAAATTTTCTTTACTAATTAGCTTATCGTAAGAACCTAAATTTAATTCAAATAAATTAGTATTCACTTAAATGTTATCTAAGTCAGTATTGATATTTTCCTCACAATATTATGAGTAACGCTTTAATTAATGCTTAAAAAGTTATTCACAATTATAATCTCTGTTTAACCATTTGTGATAAGTGCCCATTTTGATTCCAAATTCTTTTGCGTTATAGTAATCTCAAATACTGCCTTTGGTTTAGTTCTCCGTTTTTGAGATTTGCTGCCGCGTACATAATCGGAAAAAACGCTTCTGCTATCATATGCATTGTTTTTACGTCATTTTCGAAGGTAGCTCGGTTGACATAGGGAGGAATTTCACATTTGGGAATTTTGCCATGGAGATTGTTTATGGTCAATCAAGGCTTATTGTGCGGAATCCTCCCATAAACCTGGACATTTAAAATAAATTAATTAGTCCATTTTATTCTTGTATTAATTTGTATTTTAAGACATTCACACATCTTAGCGATCTCATTAGTTTCTTGCTGCGGAACTATTTACTGTTATCAGATCTTGGCTCCTCCACCCACAAGTTTGGCTATTTTCGGTATTTGATGATCAGGAAGAAAAGTAATGCTCATTTGTTGGCTAGTTATTTCGTAAGCGCGGAACCGTGCCTCATAGAACAAGAAAATTTCTGAAACATTTTGAGTCGAGATGGGACTATTAAAGCTGCTTGCCATTGAAGTAAAAAAATTGCTGGAATTTATGAACCAGAATCAGGCCATATTGAGAGACTAAAACTATAGCTGACAGTTAACAACAGCTTTAAAAGTAAAATCCCACCGAGTTATTTAGTCCAAAGGGCTTTAAATAAACCATTATGAGGATTGAAGATAATATGAGAGGTGGAAGATTAGAAGGTTGCGTTCAAACAGATAAGCACATATGTGCGCCTAGGTGTGAATACTACTGCAAATACAAAGACATATTTGTTTGGTCTCTCTCACTATTTGCTGAGGGCTAATACACCACTGTCGATGCCAAATCTCGATCTTCTGGACCGTGAAAGATCTTGAGACCCTTTAAGATGATTAGATTTTAAAGGAAGTATCTCACTCAGACAATAGAGGTAGCTCAACAGTAGTTAGTAGGACTTAAATGCATAAGATTATTATTCCCAAATCAGATGAAAGATCATGAAGTTTTAATTTAAGTCACTGTTAAGTCCTACCGAGTCGATGATCGATAAACCCATATTGAAGAGAAATGTTCGAACTTTTTTGAAGAAACACAAAACTGAACTTGTTGAGAAAACTTCAGTCGGTTAATATGCCATAGAGTTGGTATAATTTGTGACAGTGGTCAAGTTAGTGAATAGAATTTTTGTAAAAAAATGAGATTAGGAAGATATGGTAACTTCCAATACTAATTGCCGCATTCTATGGGGTAGCAGAAGTGCAGGCCGCTGCTGAAAGAAAATTTCGCCCTCCCAATCAATGAAAGGGAAAGTTGTTGAACTATTATGATAAAAACGAACAATAAGCAATAGATATCGAAGATGAGAGTTTTCTGCGACCTATGAACGATTCAAGAAGTTTGAATTCTGGAGGGAAAATAGCACCTGTATTAAATATAACAATTTGGGACATTGACATTACCTTCAACATATTTTGATTCTCATCCGTTTATAATTTGTTGGAATTTGAAGGAGTGGCGACGTCAGTATTGACTTGTCCTTTCAAGGACGCTCTCAATAAGTTAGTTGAAGTGGCCGATAGAATCCACAATCATCACAGTAGGCCGAGCGTAAGCGCATTAAAAACTTCAGCCGCCTCTGATACCGTCACACAACGACTGGACAACCTCACGGAACAGTTCATGCCACATCCTATGTGAATAAACGTGCTCCTGGTAAAACGTACCTTGCTTCTACAACTTTTGGCAGCGTAGTAAATTTCGGAAGATTTACCTAATAGGAGATCTGCTATAGAAGTTTCTGTGGATAGTCAAGGCTTATTAAGGTAGCTAATCTGCTACAAATTTATTTTAACCGATTCCAGTTCTTTCTTAAAAATAAAAGCAGGAAAATACTTTTTATTACACTAAGTAATAATAATCATCAGTAACAAATTAGATTTAAGTTAAATAGGAAGATTTCTCCCTTTTTTATCTGCTCAAATGTAATAGCTTTGGTGTCATGAATTAAAACAAAACTACAGGAAAGGGGTCAATTTTACTCAAACAAATAAAATGGAAACCATAAATGAGTGATAATTCAGGCATCAGCCTATTCAATAATCCATAATCTTCAAAATACTACTAGGTGGAAAACAGTGAATATTATCTACCTTTTTCTACGTTTATTCCATTCTCTCTAGAGCTCGGATCATTTATAGCAAATGACAGGCTTTATGATAGTTATCATTAGTTCTTTGGTTGACTTTGTACTTCACGGACGGGAGGAACACCAAGGTCACAAAAGTCGAAAGGTGGAATAGAAGAGTGGTTCACAGATGTAAGAGGCAGACTCAAAGGTAAATAAAAAGATAATACGAGTACCGTGAAAGTGGTCGAATACGGCATACACTCGGGTCTTGGTAGTTTGAAGAAAACTGCTGATTTTCAGACTTTTGCCTTATGAACATTTATTGCCCAGTCTGCACCACATGAAGGTAAGTCTATCGAGCACCCCAAGCATCGGATCATGTTATTGCAGTTGTCGACCAGAAACAGCATATACCTCCCACCGAACCAATTCTAAAGTGGAGCTTGTTTAACCACCCTCCCCCCCTTCATCCGAATCAAGGAACGAAAGAAGACAGGACCTCAAAATAGTAATTTATAGTGCATTCGATACGATCGCGAGATACGCATTACAAAGAATTAGGTGAGCAAGCAGTACAAACAGGTAAGCAAAATTCACATAAATTAGAGATAAATGAATAAATGCGTGTCATTCTTGCCTAATTTTCAAAATATTTAAGCTTGGATAATGCATTCTTTAATTTTGTCACTAGAAATACTTATGAAAATAAATAAATCATCCCATTTGATTTTTATTAACATCTGTCAGAAAACACATGACCGAACTATGAAGGGATTTTCCTTATGTCAATGTCTCATAATTTCAATTTGAATAATTGAGACCTTGAGCCCATCATCTCTAATAAATGGATGGACAGCTTACATTTAATTAATAAAAGTCATATAGAGCCTCAAACGGAATCGTAATTTTTTGGCAAAGCACTGACTGCTTAAATCTACCATTTCTGTAATTGGAAAAAATGTCAAAGGGAAATAAATACTAAGAGAAAGTGAGATATATTACCCAACAAAGAAGGAATCATTAATTCTGAATAGGCTTCTGGAACGTAACACAATATATTTGCATAGAAATGACACCTCTGAATTCAGTTGAGTGCTGCATAGGCACTTATCAAATATATAACAATAAAAATGGTTTGTAGTTGAGAGTTTGGCAAAAACCGACATAAAAGACACGATTGAATTGTAGATAGGTAAGATTAGAATCAATCAAATGAAAGACAACATGTTATATTCCCTTCTTCTTCATTTCATCCACTAACCACTCTTCGTTCAAGTCCTCAAGGTCATGTAACTCATACACCTGTTGAAGAGAGAGAGAAAAGAGGTCATAAAAAAGCCGAGAGAAATTAGAAGTACGTACCTTGGTAACCTGACTAATGTCAGTAAAGTGATGAAGCGTTCCAGCATAGAGCATCTTTAGGTCATTAGGACTATCTAAAAAAATTAAAGAATAATGTAAGCATAAAAAATGTGCAAAATAAATAATGTAAAACAAAGAACATGAGAAGGAAATTGTAATATAATAAGATAAATTTTATTAACTTATAATATAACTAAATTGGATTCTAAAGCATAAAATTGTTGAAGGAAAAATAAACTCACTTCTAGGACTCGAGAAAATGAGACAATACGGGTAAGAAACCCGACCGTCATCGCGGCAAAACTCATAACTCACAAGAATGTATCTAGGCTCGCTGGAACAAATTTCATCAGATAAATCGTCCAGATTAAGATTCTAGAAAAAAAACATAATGGATGATGAAAAACAAACTTCAATTTCCTGTTCAATTTCAACCGTCTTGGTTTTTGAATTAATTTTGCCTATGACCGTTATTTATTTAGAATAAAGTTACTAATTATTGCGCAAGTGCCCTTTGATTGTCTGAACTTAAATTCCCGATATTTTTGCCCGACATCCACGGGAATTGATGCCAGAGAAGAAGTCTAAAAATATTTGTTAAAAGTCAAAATACCATAATTATTTATCGGTGAAAAAGGAAGAACCAAAAAGACAAAATAGTTCGAACCGGTGGCAAATTATAGGATCTTAAAACAAACAATTTCTTCCGCAATAAATTTATGATTATCAAAGATTTTAATAAAATAATATTTCATAAGTGCTAAAAGTATTTAAATGTAGTTTCCATAATAATTAGACAGACCACTGAAATAGGTAGCATTATTATGCAACATTAATATTGACCGCCTAATACAGGGATGGTAATATCATGATATTGCCCCAGATTTGTTGCTTTTCAATATCAACTACCTAGTTTTGATGTTACTCATTTAAGCATAAGTCAAAAATTCAAAATTGCTAATCCGCTAAACTTATAACTTAGAAAATATCACAATGCCCATATTTGATTACTCAGTCGCATCTTTCCCAATTTGTTAAAATATTTATGTAGCAAGTCGTAACGGCACGTCAACTTAACCTGTGCTCACTCAAAGGCTTATCTATGTTCATTTGTTAAAATTATTTAGATGAATGTGAATGTTATAATTTAACCAAAAAGTTAGACTTATTATTATTTTCTAGAATTTTTCACTATTTTGTCAATAGATAGTAAAACGGATACTGTGACAAAACAGATGAATAATCATTGGAAATAAAACTAAACACTGCATTAATCTACTATATAATTCTGCATAAGTTAGTATTTTAAATTTAATTACGTTTTCTTATTGAGAAGCCCAAAGATCCTAAAGTAAAATTTGTGGCCCGTTGCAGATCTGAATGATTCTGTTTATGCAAAAAATCTAAAGCGACTCACAATGGATTTATAATTAAGAGATAGTAATTCATATCTAAGAGTAAAGAGACGAGTCAATTCAAGTAATTACCAATAGCATTGAAATATAACGTTATTGATTGGAGATGATTAAACCAGGTTAAAATATTTGGGACAATCGAACAATGGGAATCGACAGTTTTTGATGAATCAGTTGTGCCTTTTTACAGTCAACGGATTAATATTTCACCTACTCTCCATGAGAAAGCTTGGGTTCTACAACTGCCTCTTCGCTTGGGTTGAACTTGCTTTAAGTCGACGGCTTTTTCTAGAGAGTGTACACGCAATGGACATCTACGAAGCTAGTTAACCTCCCGTTTAAGATATATCTGGTTTATATTTTGTAATACCCTGTAAAGCATTTTTAAAATAAATTGTTTATTATTTTAAAATATAGCAAATTACAAGGTAGGAGAGATAGAGCATATCATTGTTTTATTTAATGGTCTACCTATGAACGTTGTTTGTATTTTATTTTGTTATACCTTATATCTGAAAAATGTGAGTGGTTTTTTCGAAAGAATATTTTAATGTGAAAAGTAATCTACTTTATAATCAAAATAATTTTTGTCTTTTTATCATTTATAGCTGCATCACATAACCCCTTAAACTACTCACATTGAATGAGCTTAATGTTCAGCCTTTAATCTGTCAAAAATTGACATCGATAGATCAATGTCTCTACCCAGAAAGGAGCGCAAATTATGGCTTGAAAAGGTAGTAACAATTCAAATTAATGATGCATATAGTGTTCTCCTGGCGATCCTGAAGCAGCTCTTATTCAACAAAAAATGGGAATACCTCCCGCTGATGTTCTCTCAATACTAAGTGGAAGGGTTTCTCAAAGTAATTCTGAATTGTCAGCACGAGTATGGCCGAGACATTCTATAGAAGGTAGATACGGCCAGATTTCATTTTATTACTTTTTTAGAAATGCGAGATCCTGCTCATATCGCTCGTCAACGAAGCACTTCTGGTATTGATTGGTTAGTGAGATATAAGGCGTTAGGAAGGAAAAGGTGAGTTAGCATGAATGTTTCTTAATTCTAAATTAAGTCCAGAAACTGTTAGTGCCTCACCATTTGAAAATAATTCTATTCCTTTGGAAAATCGAAATGTGAATTCTTCCTCGGAAACTCAAGCACTTAGAGATACTATAACACCTGCGCAGGAACGAGAGTAAGTTTTCAAAAATTCCTTTCTTAATAATACTTTACTCTCGATTAACGTTGTTTGTGCTCTGAATTAGGTTGATGGAAACTCTCCAGCTCTCGGCAAGTGAAGAGGAGTCGGATGATGAACTTTCGGGCCCCCTTCCCAAGTCAAAACTTCCCACTTTAAGTGTCAGAAGTCAAGAGGTTATTCGAAGTGCTGATATGATGCTGCAGGAAGTGTCATCCATTTTGCAGCAACCGATCTCACCTCTGCCTCCTGATCACTTACTCCCTAAGCAATCTTTAGCCAAGTAAGCTTCTCAACGTATTTTGTTTTATTTATACATGTAAATATGCTCGAGCACAAATGAATCCAGTTTTATTTGCCACACACATGTTTTTCTCATTTGTCAACAGCGAATAATTTGCCGCGTCTTTTCATTACGTATGAAGTAGAATGTGTGTGTGTGTGTGTGGGCATGTGAGGAAGTTGTATTCGCTTTTGATTAATTGGAATTAGGGTGTTCTGTCACTGTTTTCGTTCGCGTTACATTATTCCCCAAGTTAAATCTTGTGATTTTGATTAGTTTGCTTCTTCTACCCTTCGGGAGCAAGGGATGACCATTAAGAGTTTCAATTTCTTTTACAATGCCACTCTCTTTCACTTAAGTGATTAGTATTAACGGCTGGTAACTCGAATCATTGACAAGCATAGACTGCGAAAATGACCTTTTGCTTCTCAGGGGTCACGCTCCTTAAATACGGAGTTATATGTATTTTAATTCCTCTCTTTTAGTCAAAATTCGCGGGCGAAAACCGTCAGAAGTCCGGGGGGTTCCAAGTCACAAAGACATGCCCGAGAGCCAATTGGTGCTCGTACAGAAAAGGCGCCCAAACCCAGTGTCTATTCTCCTCTGGCTATTAATGTAACTGAAGCAAGCAGTCTCTCCAGTCAAGAACAGCCCTCAGGTGATGCTCTTGGTACTCTCTCCTCTCTCCCTGTTCAACGACTGAGCAATCGAGAAAATGTCCCATCAACGGCGGAAAAGCTCTCCGACCCTATTCGAGATTTGGTGCGTAGAGTTCTGGCTGATGCAGAGGAGTTCTGTAGACCCTTCAAGTCCATGCATCGGCTGAAATCAGGTGCTGCTGAAAATAGGATTATCCCACTTTCCAATGATCCCTCAACTTTCATTCTTAAGAGGGTCTCTCCTTTACCCAGTTACTCGTTCGATTCTAAGCTGTCTGATCATACTGAATCAAGTCCACCACTTACGAAAATACGAAAAAGACCTTCAAAAGACACTGGGTCCGAAATCCCTCCTAAAAAGGGGGAACATACAGTTGTTGAGGCGACGCCTGAAAAGCCTAGAGGTGTCGACAGTAAAATTGGTCTTGATTCACTGTGGGTTGTACCAACAATGGCTCACAAAGATCTCGCTCAACATATCCATTCAGTCCTACCGGCTCAATCTTTATCTTCAACACCCATCGATAAGTTATATTCTATTCAGTTTCTGCTCAAAGGACTGCGGTTTCAAACTAATTCTACCTCTATTGCACCTGCCCGCCAAAAATCCTTGACTGCTTCAGTGATTGTCCCTAATAAACGTAGAACCCTTAAATGGTTTGTCGACTGTGGTACCGGGACAACACCCAGGCGAGTAACAACCTCTTCAACACAGTACACCCATAAACAGTTGAAAAATTCCATTTCTCAAACCGTTCCTCCTTCCGTTGCTTCTGTGTTCACTAATATGACCCCTCATGTGAGCAGTTCTATCGCTATTAACACGGACCCTGTGCGTATGGAGAATGGTTTTTCGAGTGACTTCTCATTTGATTATCATCTCAAACATTTGTTCAGGAGTAATTACACTCAAATCGATCGCACAATTCAAGAGTAAGTTTCCGTTTTAATGTGTACGTTTTCTAAGCTTGTTTTGGAAGACTGGTTGTTGATTAGTAATAGTACAAGAGGATTTAGCTAGTAAATATTATCGGTTATGAAACTGAAAGTTATTAGTTATCAGGAAGTCGGATTGTAGCAATAAGTTAATTAAACAAATGAGTAGTGTTTGAACTATCGCTAACTCGAGTTATAATGTCTGATCAAAGCTCATGAGTTTGTTTCGCATCGACACATACTCAAAAACTTTAATTAGTTAAGAGAATGTGATTTTGGCTCTAGCAAAAATTCACTACCGAAAGGACAGTTAGCGTTATTAGTAATATTAATATTGGTTGTACCATAAAATTGATTAGGTTAGGCGTTATATATATTTATATATATATAGTCGATCTTCGTATCGATTGTAATGTATTATTGTGTATATTGAGTTGAAAGGTCAATTTCGCCATTGTTTACAAAGTATATTAGAAGAGTATGTTCTGTCTCTAAAGTGCTATCATTAGCATTTGATATTTTAAGCTAAAAATATGGTAGATTGGGAAGTTTCTTTTAGATCACTTTCAAAGCCTATACGATGCCTATGTGCATTCTGGATCTACTCTTATGAGGAATTCGCATTCTTTTAACCTTGTTACTCAGAATTAGCCGATTCAATCAACTATCCAAATCACTATTTACATCAATTGCCATCGATCTCATCGAGGAAGCTTACTTCTTCGTCACTGGTCATGATTGTAATTTTTTTGACTTCCCAAATTTAGTTCTTTTGAAAAACAGATCGCTCTAGTTGTTGCTTTCACAGAGTTAACATATACATATTTTCTCATTTGTTACCGCGCGTGAGTAGTAGCGCTTCGATTAATTTGATTAGATTGGGATTTAACACTTGAGAGTGGGTATTATTAAGCCCCTGATTCTGAAATTTAGCCATACCCCTACTGATTAATATGAAATATTGCAGTTGCTCATTTTATTTAGTTTTCTCGAGCTTTGTGGTATAGGCATGGTACTGTTGAGTCACAGATCTTCAACCTCGTTTTGCTTATGAATAGCCAAATGGCTAACATTTGTCTACATAAGTTCAAAGTCTGTTAAAAGTAGGTATTTTTAAGCATTTCTCTTGAACCGAAAAAAATTAGACATCTAGACTGTTAATCTCATTCATGGTCGGTATTATTTGAATGCGGCTGTCATTATTACATTGATTTCTTAATTGTTGTTCAATTTGATGGTGGTTCTCCCTTTTTCAAGATTGCGTCAGACAACGATGAACTACCATGTAGACCAGGCGGCCCTTCTGGACAGAGAAAGCGCGGCTTGTTGGAGTGCCCTTGTGAAGTACGTTGCAGCGACTTCTGCTTCCTCTTCTGTAACCGGCACCCCTCTGCGTCCCTTCATGTGCTCATGCACTCCAGAGTCCCGTCGTCTGGCTCACAGTCTCTTCTGTCAATCCGATTTCGTCTCCTATCCCGAGAAGACAATTGCCGCAGCAAAACACGTCTTCTCAGCCGCCTTTTTATCTGATTCCACTGACGAGCAAAAGCGCATTCAGGAATACGAGAATGTTCTCGAAGTGCTGGGGAAAATTACTACTAGGCTGAAGAGAGCTGAAAGTAAACTTCTGCGTCGAGCATGGAGTAACATGGATCACCCGGGTATACTAGAAATACCCTACTCTAGTGCATCAGAACTCTGTGAAGAGGCTAAACACTGGTGCGATCTCTGGTATTCGGCCTTGTCTAGAGTGAGGGCGTTTGCTTTTGCGAATGTCCACAATTTGCAGAAAAAGGCAGAAGAGGAACTACGAAGTAAAGTAAGTGTTCTCTCTGATGAGGGTGTGTGCGTGTAGTTACGCATGTGAGAAAAAGTTAATTTGATTGGTAGTGGTGACAGCGGCGTTTACTTGACGAGATGTGTTGCATACGTTTGCGTGTGTGCAGTTTGTAACTGAATCTACACCCTTGTGCGCCATGTGATCAAGTAAAGATATGCGATACGTGTATTTTAACTTGTTTGTGTGATTTTACACTTTCTATTAGGTGATCGTGATTATATCAACCCATGGTTTTGGGCATTCACCTTTTCTCACTTATATTTGTTAGGGATGCTCCTTTTGAGAACATCCGTTCCTTACGTGTGCATCGGTAAGCAACTATCACGTTAATTTGTGCAATAACCGGCTGTAGTCCCCATTCTATTTGTTTCTCGGTTTCTCATCCTTAATTTAGCCATTGCCTTCCCACTTTTTAGACCCGTCTGTCACATTAGATTTGTCATGCGTTTCTCTGATGTCGTTTCTCTACTTCAATAAGTGTAGATTTGCCAAAGATTTTCCAATCTAAATTTTACTTTGCAGTGAAGTTCGGTACTGTAGTTTTTCTATTTATCCCCTCTCAATGTCGCATTAGACACTGTGCATGTCAGCCACGCAAAAGATCACGAGTTCGATCCCCATCAGCGCACATCCATTGAATTGAATGGTCAACTACATTTGTTTAGTCTAGTTAATCTAAGTAGTTGCAGAACTCGGTACCTTCATCAGGGTGGCTTCACGTTGCTGCCACTCAGGATAATCATTTGAAAGCGCTTCCCTGATTGGGCTTGGTAAACATTGTCAATCTATTTACTAGTGAATATGTCAGCCATCCCAATTATAGAGATAAGCATTTTCTTAATCGTTAATGGATACTCCTGTGTTAAGGTTAAACTGTTTGTACACTCGTTTATGTAATTACTCGTTAGTGTCGCACTTCTTACTGACCTGTTCTTGGTTCTTTTCTCTAACGTTATGAATAGAGGATAGTGACTGAGTTTTTCCTGATGAAATGTATTTTATTGGCACCACTTGTTGTTGCACTTTCATTTTATTTACCAAATATTGCGCACCTTCAGTGCACTTGTGTAATGAGTTTAGATTGCTCGGCCTAAATTTTGCAGCGGGGTGTAAGGATTGGGAAACGTTTTTCACTCTTACTCGTTTCTCAACTCTATTTATTATTTGAGCCCCCAAAGGTGATATATTAGACCGTAGGTTTGCACTTTCCTAATTTTCGAGTAATAGTTTATGCATTTGCAAAACTCCTAAGTTTATTTGCATGATTTCGGAGTTTTAGGCTATGATGTGACTTAAAACACACATTGTCAATCATTTTTTTCAGATTATTGCCCATGCCGGCTCAGTGAAGCAGCATGCTCATACGTTAATGAACCGAATATTTATATCAAATGGTAGGCTTTATGATGATTGTCATTAATCCCTCTAATTTGTTTCGCTCTTGAAAGGGGGGAAGAACATCAAGGTCACAAATAGTTGAGAGGGGGAACAGAACAATGATTCATAGATGTAAAAGTTGCAAATACAAAGGTTGAGAAAAAGGTAAGGTGAGTACTGCGAAAGTGGTAGAATATGACGTATAGTTGGGTTATGATAGTTCGAAGTCAGAAATCAACTGCCTGTTTTTAGACTTCGCGGTTTGAGTTTACGTTGCCCAGTGTGCACTGCGTCTATCGCGTACCTCATGAACCGAATATTACATGTCACCATCTTTTGTGTTGACCAGAGACATCAGGTATTTAACAGGAGGTCAATTGTAAACGTACGGTACAAACCGTAATTAAATCTGTATTGAATTGACTTAAATTAATAAATGAGTGAACTGTGCTTCAAGGCTTTATGGCGTATAATCATCTATTAATATGTTTAGAGATCCATCAGTTAGCATTAATTGAGCACTTCTGTAAAAAACTTGGTTACTTGCATTTCGTCTAATCCTTTTCTCCGACTTGAAAATAGGTTACTGTATCGCCGTTGAAAATGCCCTTTGTTAATAATCCCCCAGCAGTCTTCGCTAAGGTATTATTCAATAACAATTTAATGCATAGAAAACTGGCTTTACAGAGAAATTTAAGTTCTGATTTCTCTTTATAATTCACTATTTGCCCGTCATTCTATTCTCAAATCATGCTCCTATGACCTCTGGATTGAGAGTCATGCCCTTTGTTATTTTACCTCTTTTATTACCTATAAATACCTCAATTCGACTTTAATTTATGCTGAAATCTTGATTGGTCATCTAGGCATATTTGGATGACCCATTTGGGTATCTGCTTAATTAATTGCTATGTACATTTGTCTCACGTCAAACGAATCAATGCACATTGTTCGATAGGTCTTTGAAAATGAAAATCAATGACGTTGCGGTTATCTAACTCAGCTCTACACACTGAACTGTTCTAAAGTGGCTTGGGAGTCATCCTAGTTAGTTGGCTACGTATTGAGGTTTATATACTTTGGTCAGCCATTGAGGTTCAATTCGTGATATCTATATACGTCTTTACTGTTGGTAAATAGTTATAGAGGCTCAGGAGCTGATGATTGCTAACAAAAGCATGCACATTTTGAAGTGTGGTTCATGGTACTAGTAATTAAACTTGATATTGACTAAATAGGACTTGTCTAAAATGCATCCCTTATCCTTCAACTTGCAATTAAATGATATTTAAATAACTACTTGTGCAGAAATTCTGGTGCTGGTGCTTTTTAAAGCAGAGAAACTTTCATTCTACTGACTCTTCAGTTGGTCATTTAGAAGATGATCCCATTTTTCAATATGCTTTATAGATCATATTTCTGCATTATTTTATAAACACAATTATCGGCATCTCCTTTACGAAAAAGCGCAACGTTAAGAAGGGTTTGTTTAATTATGATTAGAAACAGAAAGTGCTATAATGGTAAGCACGTAGAACGTATTAATCACGAATATTTTGGAGAATGTTCAACAAGATTTGAAAATATGTGGTTAACGTTAAGGGGCTTATGAACTTATCTCAGCCGATAATGTAGTAAAGAATGAATAATTATATGATAGGTTTGAGATACGAACAGTCCTTCCCACGCATCCATTTTTCTTTCAACCTTATCCTTTCCTCTTTTCAGATCCTCAATGATCCGCATTTGAAACAGCTTAATTTAATTAACAAAAATGATGTTCTGGCTTGTATTCCTTCGCCTTCGTCACCACTTCTTCGGAATGGATCTCTCGATGGCCCGTCTTCTGACGCCAGTGAGAATTTTTTTATGCCGTCCCTTTTGCTTGGTGATGCTTTCGGTTCTCCCACGCACACAGGTCTTTTATGTGTCCATTGAGTGTTGTGTAGCTGGACTGTGTTAAATGTTCTTTTCCATTCACACTAACCCGACTAAACGCTTTCCATTCTTTCCTCTAGAGTCTGAAATGTGTACAGTGCCCTTTTCAACTCTGAAGCAGTTGGTTAAAGCCTTTCTTATATCCTCCAATGCGAGTGAGTCACTGAGGAATCAAGGAGAATCGGACAAGATCCTTTCTTTCGATCGATTTGCTTCCTCTCCGTCAATCTCAGGTGGTTCTACGGGTGATCAGAAACAACTTCCATATTACTTAAATACCTCTTCTGTAAATTTGGCCCCGATGATTGTCTACATTGACCAAGTTCTTCGAGAACATCGACGGCTTGTTGAGTGCCTTTCCAATTGTCCAGAAATTGGCCACTACCAGGTGTCAATCAACACCACTCCTCTCTCGAAAAAGTCCATTAACTCTCCACTTCCAACAACAACCACCACCACCGCTCAATCAACTTCCAAGAGGAAGAGAGATGGTGTTGGGAAACAGATTAAATCTCCTCTCCCACCCCTTCCTCTTGCCCCTGCATTTGACCCCCCTTCTGAAAGACAACTTCACGATCCCCTCAAGCATCGTGCCAAACATCGTCATCGGAATCGACACAATAGTAGTCAATCTGATGAGACTACAGCGAGTTCAGAGTTTGCAAGTGATCTCACCACAAAGCCTGCCTTAAAGAAAAAGAGGCATAAAAGATCCCCCAGTCCCCGAGTTGTACAGAACCCTGCTCCTAACCCCCCTGCCCAATCGTCTTTGCCTAGATTTCACAAGAAACGTAAACCTGTGGAAGATGCCAATCCTCGGAGAAAGCATCATTCTTCACGCAGTTGCAGTGTGGCTCCCTCTCGAAGAAATTTTGAGCATACTGGAGGTGATAACTCAGACGATTCACTGAAACAGAGACGGTTGCATAAGGAGAGAAAAAGGGAAAGGGGTAGATCAGTTGCCCCCTCACACAGGGAAAAGTCCGCAACTCCTGTAAATACCAATGGCAATGATGGTAGAGTGGTGGAGACGTACTCACCCCGAAAGAATGCCTACCTCTATAGTCCTTCTCGACCAGCATTTTCCGTTGCAAGTAGTAGCCGAAGTGCTACTTACGAGCCTACCTACATTCCCTCAGCGCCTACCTCCCTTCCTAAGCAACCGAATGGGCGAAGAACATTATTGCAGGAGTTGCCTGGAAAACCCTCTGGTGCTCCCTTCTATGACAAATGGATGAATAAAACGCCGTCTTCTAGTAAACGATAGAGATGGGGTACCTGCATCTCTTCATCAACTTAACGTCTTTCAACCAGTAAAATATGCAGTTAACGTCTCTTGCTGTTTTTCAGCAGCGTGTCTTTCATCCTGCTCAAAAATGCTCTTTCCGATCTTTTCCTTTCTGTACATACGTATATATATATCCTAGGGCAGCAGCGGTACTTACTCTTGTTTCCCTTTCTCCACTCCCGTTTTTACGCAAAATTTCAGGTACAAGTCTGTGTAGGTAACCAGGTTTGGCGCATCTGTAACCTTTCCCAATCCTATATATATTTGAACACCTATTTCCTTTTGTCTGTGTACATATTTTCATTGAAAGAAAGAGCTGAAGACAAAAACTGTCTCTTGCATAACTAAGACGTTCTATGAAATAAAGATTATAAGTATCTTTGGTATATGCATACTTAATTTGTTTTTTATTGGGGGGGGGGGGGGGGTGGTANGTGGGGGGGGGGGGGTGGTTGTAATACAGTTGAACTTTTCTATTATTTACCTGAAAAAAATTAATTGATGGCACTTGGGGAATCTTGGCGTGTTATCTTTTCAAGCCTCTTGGATTTCGATCATAATTAGGCGACGTAAGGCGTGATGTGAGCCATGGGGGGGGGGGGGGGGGATGGGGAATTGGATCAATAGAATTTGGCCGTTAATCAGCTTCAACCAGAGAGTATGTGCTGGGTTCGGGGTTGGCTTGCCATTCTCAGGCATTTAAATCTTCTACTTCGTTGAAGCATGACGTTTAACGTTAGTTATATAACAGATTTGAGTACTTCCTTCTAATTGAGCATTAATCTGTAATTAGGATTGCATTTCATCTTTTCAGCACGAGTTCTTCTGATATATGACTCCATAATCTGTAACGATGGAGTTGATTTTTTGGGTTGTTTTAACCGTGAGTCATTAATCACACTTCCTCGACATCTTACTTGAGTTGTATCGCCTTAGACTTTGCGTGTGTGTATGTGTGTGTGCTTTCTCACGTTTATCGGTACATAGATAGCTAAGTAATTGCTTCATAGTTGCATAAACGTGAAGTCTCATTTCCTGCCGTTTAGCCTTTGAATTTCTCTGAGTTATTCACTTATTGAGCTCTCTTTTGCGCAATAATTGACATAACTCTGACATTGGACAATTATATTATGCCAGTCCAATGGGGTCAAAGTAACGAAAAAGAGTTCGGTATCTGGAAGAGCCATAGTTCAACGGTGCTTTTATGTGGAAATAAGATTTCGTTTTGATCTAAAGTATGGAGAGGGTGTTTTTTATTTTTGTAAATTCACTATTAAGAGTTAGAGTTGCACTCTTCTTGATATATCTCGCTCTCACATATGCGTAATTGCTTATTTTTCATACATTAGCTTCATGTGCGCAAAATTTTATTGATTTTGGTTTCACATTACGACTCGCGATGATGTGATAAGTGAAAAGTAGTAATTTAGTGTAATAGTGTGAATAGGGCGTTTGGAAATTTATTAGTAGTCATGTTACCCAATCAGAATGGTCAACCAATTGCAGTCTAGATACCTATCCAATCGCATATACAATTGTCATCAGTGTTCCACTAACGCTACAGAACACTTTACTTACAACGGCTAATTGGCAAGAGTAGAGGGCAACAAGCGTAGTTAGGTCCTAGCGTCAATTATCGATTTGGGGGGAGGGGATACGGGATATAATTGTGGTGGAAATTCAGAGTTAGAATGCGTCTGTGAGGTTGGGGTATTTATGTATGCGCATAATGCAGCAAAAGCACACTTTGTGCAAATTGGTTCGTCAAGCGTATTAAAACTCCTTCTCTGTTAGACACCTGTATTAGGGTCACTTTTTAGCCTGAGTTATCAATCCAATACGACTTCTTCCTTAATTTGGCTTGTTAAAGTCTTAGTATTCAATTATGTTTGCAATTCTTGAAATCAGAGTGGAAGAAAATATCTCACGTCGATTAGGGTCTTAATGGGGAACATTTGTAAATTTTTTGGTTATTTTCATATAATAATTGCTGACATTTATTTATTTCAAATGGCAGGCGTTTTGATAGTTATCATTAGCCCTTTAGCTGACTTCGGGTTTCACAGGGGGAAGGAACATCAAAGTAACAGAAAGTCGAGGGGTGGGGAACAGAAGAGTGATTTAGAGATGTAAAGAGACAGACATGAAGGCAGAGAAAAGGCAGGATAAGTACTGCGCCAGAAGTCAATCGCTAGTTAATAGACTTTTTTGCCGTATGAGTATACGTTGCCCAGGGTGCACCACGTGGAGGTAAGTCTATCACGCACCCCTTGGCAGCAATTCCGCCATCCGGGGCTTATCGGTTTGGCTTAGTGGCACAAACAGCCAAACCTTGCCATAATTGCTGACATTAAATGGAACAGAAGTTATTTATTTATTTATACCAAATGGCAGGCGTCTTGATGGTTATCATTAGCCCTTTAACTGACTTCGGTATGGCAGGCGTCTTGATGGTTATCATTAGCCCTTTAGTTGCCTTCAGGATTCACAGAGGGGAAGGAACATCAACTTGAAAAAAAAGTCGAGAGGGAGAAGATAGGAATGTTCCAAAGATGTAAGAGACGAACACAAAGGTAGAACAAAGGTGATGTGAGTACTGTGGAAATAGTCGAATATGACATAGAGTGGGGTGATGGTAGTTTGAAGTGAGAAGTCAACTGCCAGTTAATAGACTTTTTGCCGTATGAGTATACGTTGCCCAGGGTGCACCACGTGGAGGTAAGTCTATCGCACACCCCAATGGAACAGAAGTTGGGGGCAGCATTCGCCTTCAATCAACCATAGTGGTCGCAACCTCATAACAGGGCATGAGAGTCGGTTTAGTATATCTCAGCTGGCGTCTCATCACTGACCGCAGTTCTTCGCAATTAATTAAATGTTCTTCTAATGAGTGATAGAAGAATTGACCAAATTCAGAATACTGGACGGTGATCTCACTCCCATTTGTCGATATACAGAATGACTGGTTTTTATAATATAAATTTGCTTCGCATTCTTTAGTCAATACCCATTTAGTTAATCTCCCTACCCTAAATCACTCTGTTTCTTAAACAATTTTTTGTAATTATTTACATTCAACTTCCTTCGAAAGTGAGAATTGCAGCATATTTCAATCAGATACCCCTTTCTGAACGAAAAATATCTTTTTGACTACAATGGAGATCATTGGGTCTTCCCTTCCAAATTGCTAGTTCTTTGATAAGATTAAAAAAGCATAACACACAAAATCAGCGGCTGACTCATTTAACTTGGCTAGAACTTGACAAATGCGCTGACAACGTTCTTCACCAATGAGATTGAAGTTATGAAAGCGTCGATTCATCCATGTGACCTTAACCATTCAAAGACATTTATTTAACTTTATCTGAATAATTATGTTTATAAGTGGCATGATTGGGTGTCCTGGTGACCCAGAATGCTATACAATAATGATATCACTAGCCAATAAGAATGATCGTATTAATTAATCCCAATTCATTTTTTTACCTTTTTGTGAGTATCTCCTTCATTCCAGGAAGAAGCGTATTGCGAAGCGCAACTAAATGGCCAACGCAGACAGGCGGCTTGGAGCTTCTAGTCTACCCGGTCTCTCTTCTCCCCCCATTACATCGTGTACTTTTCCCTAATAAACGCCCATTCCGCAGAGTCCTTGGCAATCAATAGTGGGTTAGTTAAATTTTTCACTCCCAGTTACCTGTCGTCTTCAAATCAATAACATCTTCCTATCAATAATACTCGTTGGATGGTGGGGGGGGGGGGGGGGGGGGGGGGGGGGGGTCGGTTGGTACTGTAAGGCATGACGTTTTTCTACAATCCATGATGTTGGGGCAGTGCTATTTCTTTTGCTGCTTTAGTGAACAGTTAAATAGACTTAAATTACATTTCAGAATTCTTAACCGGGTATGGAGATCTGAGGAGAAGGGATGGAGGATGGACAACCACGACCTCTTTCGAATGAATTATTTCGTCCATTAAGCGATGGAACATGCACTATTTATACCGGCAATACAAATTTCCCCTACTCAACAAATGTCAACTGGTACAGGATAATATTAAACACTTTCTTCTTTATAGTTGATAGAGTTGATACAAATACAATTAATCCTCAATACTAAGAGTTCATTGTCACTGGATTACTCAATGGCTATCCCCGATAATGGAAAAAAAACAAAAGAGAGTCTAAGTTCCTAGGCATGAAATTTTCGAGAGGCATTCACAAAGGCTTTTGGTTTAAGATGGTGAGACCCTAAATGAGGTCATTCTCTCACATGACTTGACCTTGAGGTACACGTGATATGGTTCTCTCAAAGGAGATGGTGAAAGTGCATAGGTCAAGAATTTTAGATTCATACTGTCACCTAATTACATCCCCAATGAAAGAATATTATCAACTTTAAAGCCGCACCATGATAATAATTAGAAAAAGGTTGCAAGGCCTTCTGACAGTAACCCAGCCAAGCCAAAACATTTATTGTTGCATTTTCTTTTCTCGCGGGGGGGGGGATGTGAGAGACTTAGCTCCACGTGGTGCACCCTGGGCAACGTATACTCATACGTCAAAAAAGTCTATTAACTCGCAGTTGACTTCTGACTGCAAATCACCATGACCCCACTGTATGTCATATTCCACCACTTATACAGTACTCATTTTACATTTTCCCTACTCTTTGTGTCAGTCTCTTTTACATATGGGAATCACTCTTCTGCTACCCCTCTCAAATTTTTCTCACTTTGATATTCCTCCCTCTGCGAAGCTCGAAGTCAGCCAAATGGCTAATGATAAATA